CGAACAATCTGCTGGCATAGCATGTCAGCAAGCTTTGTTCTATATTTTTTTAAGTACAGTTTGCTCATATCGTCTGATATTATAGATTCTGTATTCAATTTGTTACCTTTTTGCCCTCAAACGTTGCTAATAGGCTATGCTCGGTTTTTGCTAGCAATCCGCTGGCATAGCATATCAGCAGGTTTTGTCCTATTTTTGAAGGCAGTTTGTTCACATCGTTTGATATTGCAAACTCTGTGTGCAATTTGTTGCCTTTTTGTCGTCAAATATTGATAGTAGGCTCTGCTTAAAATCTGTTTCTGCAGGTTTTGCTCAAAATCTGTTCTGCTATCGGGGATACTAATGAAGATATTTATTAATAATGGTTTTGATAATGATATAAATTTGATATATTTTAAAAATAATGTTTAGTATTGATAAATTGTACGTGCGTGCATTCGTGCATGCACAATCACGTATGCTTCATTAATATACAGAATTAATATACTTTTTTTTATATTACATATTATTTATATATTATGTAATATAAAAAAAGCATTAATTCTGTATGTTATATTATGAAGCGTACGTGATTGTGCATGCATGAATGTACAATTTATCAATATTAAACATTATTTTTAAAATATATTATTTATTTATATGTATTTATTATGTTTTATATTACAGATGTTTATATATATTATATATGAAAACTTTACTAAAAAGGATAAAAAGAAACTTTACTGTTAATAAGCTTATATAAAGAACTGAAGAATTGTTTACCTCGGGAAAGATGAAACAACATTTATGTTGGGAACGAGTAGCAAAAGCAATGGCAAAAAAGATTACAATATCTCCGCAAAGAAATGTTGTATGAAGTTCCAGACATTAAAAAGAACCTATAAATAAATAAAAGACCACAATAATAAATCCGGGAACTCTAGGAAAACATGGGAATATTTTAATGTATGTTAGCATGTACTGTAAAGATCTGAGCACAAAGATTATTGTGTCAACAGAGTCGTAGTGAGACGTAATTTAATATACAATGATTAATGTATATACAGATACATAATATACAAATGGATATTATATATTTACAGGCTATGGATAAACTATATGGTACAAAACCATAGATTGAACCGATATCAACTGTCTCATCTGATCCAAATGATCAGCCTGTAAAATTATTAGGTCCTGTAAGGAAAAATAAAGGTATATATACTTTTAATTGTTTAATTGAAACATGTATCATAGCTAAGGGAAACGTCCTAGCGACTGGAAATGTACCTATATCCGGACATTTATACAAAACTACTTACTTATTATTATTAATCTCAAATGCTTTTTTTATTTAATATTAAAGTTTTATTAAAATAAAATTACAATTAAAATTTCATATAATAAAAATAGCATTTGAGATTAATAATATAAAATTTTTACGTTTTTGTGCAATAAAAAAATTTAATTGAAGAGCATGCTGCAACGGTGAATTAAATCACATTTTATAGAAACAAAGAAAATAAACTCTAAAGTTAAAGTGATTAACTAAAGATTCATTTTCTCCAAAACTTTTTACAAAATGTAGATTGGTTCACTGTTGTAGCAGGCACTTTAATTTTAAACTGAATTAATAAATTAATTTTTTAATTTACATATTAATATACTTATAGATAAAATAAAACGTGTTACATCAAAACATACGTTATTGGAGTACAGGAAACTTTGTGCAGAGAAAAGAGATGCACAACATAAAGAGAAAATGGACTTATTGAAGAATATCAAAAACTTAATACAAGAAACATTACGAAAAGAATAACTAAATTATTTAAATAAGACTAAAAGTATAAATTAGAGTTCCTATATTGTGTTATTTTATAAGTTATAATTATTAATGTTATGCAAGAGTTTTACGTTTGGTTTTTTATTTTTTTTTTTTACAAATTTTTATGTTCTTTATTTTAGTATTATCGATCTATGTTTATATTATGCATACTTTAAAGATAAAAATAAGATAAAGTTTTATTTGTGTGTTTACATAAACTGTATTTTTTTTCTTAAATTATATGTGCAATTTACTTTATATTGTTATACGTATAGTCTCAAAACTAAGTATATGGACACATATTAAGAGTTTCAATATCTGATTCATATAGACATCTGACATAATAAAAGTAATTGGTGCTATAGATGATACATACGTATACATAAACCAAAGAAACATAGAAAGTACATACAATATAAATAAAGATAAAATTGTTTTTCTTTATTATAATAACATGTGATATAATACATTCGAAATGTGATGTAATTATTTGAATAAAAAAATTTTTTTATAAATATATTTATTAAAAAAAGTATTTATAATATGTGTTTTTATAATCTTTCACTCAACATATATGTTAAGGCATTTCTTTTTTGAATACTTTCTTTTTTATCTTGATCATTGATTTCAACATTATGTGCAATTACGGATTGTTTGTTTCGTTTTCAATGATTACATCATCTATAAAATCTTTATGTAAAATACAAATATTATGTAGCACACAGCAAGTAATAATGTATCAAGTCTGTCCGTTTCATATATAAGTGTCGGTCCACAATAAGTATTTAATCTTTAAGCCGTAAGAAATTGACCAATAATAGTCGATTATTCTTTTCATATTCGATTATAATTGGTCAATTTCTTATGTCTTAAAGCTCAAATCACCTATTGTGGATCGACACTAACTTATTTAAGAGACTACGAAAACGTCCTTTTAACAAATCGATGGTTCTTTCAACCATAACACGGGCCGAACATAAACATGTATTAAAATTAATTTGCTTCTGTCAAATGACCATTGTTTTTATAAGGCACCATTATATTTTTTTGCAAAACATTACCTAATAAATGACTATTCTGTGGGAAGTAGTTTTCTGTGCACATAAATTGAATGCCGCTTAGTCGGAATACTTGCATATCGTGCACAGATCCAGGTTGTCCTGCGTAACAATGAATAAATTTCAAGGTAAAAACATACAATCTACAAGAAAATGTTTAAATATTTAAGCATTTATCAATTATATAAAATCAATTTTATAAAACTTTTATTTTTAATCATTCATATTATCCTTTTAGGTAAATTTAATACTGGCAATTTTAAATTGATTCGTAATGAATTATTTATTTTGAAAAGCATTATTATTCGTGTCCATAGTGCTACTAATAATTGTATAATTGTAATAAGTATATACTACATAAGTATATACTATAAGTAAATACTACATGTGACAGTTTGTAATTGAAGACTTATTAATCTTAAATCAAATAAGTTTTCTTTAAATATTCAAGATAATAAGCTTATTTCCAAGCATTATATATATATATTTTAAAGTAAATTTATAAATACAATATTTATAAATATTTATTACAATATTTATAAATAAATATAATATATAGATTTATATAATTAATTGTGAAGATGAGTAAACTAAAATATTAAAATAAGAAGTTGAATTGAATTATAGATAAAATTTTTGCTATGGAATTAATATTTTAAAAATATAAGAAATAGTTTATTATTAGAATATTAATTTTAGAGATTAAAGATATATGAGATTAAATATTTTTTTGATAAATATATATAAAACTACAATTATTTATATTTATCTTACCGAAAATGACTCTTAAACTCTACATCTGAATATTCAGTTATTATATCCATATAATTTTTAATACGCGGTCGAACTGCTAGAAGTAGTATTAATTCTATTTGGTTT